ATAGGTATAATGTTATAAATAATTGTATAGTGAATAATTGGTATAAAATTATGAGATAATTAAGATAATTTGAGATATTATAATGTGAGATAATTAAGATAATGAGATATAAAGATAATGTACAAAACCATAGTTATAATGTTATAAATAATTGTAAAGTGAATATCCAGGTCAAAAATTACCTCCTACTATATCCATTTTCTTAGCAAAAGAACTAGGTCCAGGCCCTATGCAAATGATTATACCTTAACTGTAGGGTCCAAATGATTATAATCTTTCCCCCAAGAGTTAATCACTACTCTGACTGTAGTGGTCACCATTTGTTTGCTGTGTGACCACCTAGGTATACATTACTAAATATATCTCAGTTTTAAAAATAAATTTTTCCCCATAGATTAGAAATTGCTTCGCACCATAGGTAGATATTAAGAGAAACAGGGTCGGGGTCGGGGATTTAGCTCAGTGGTTCCAGTGCCTGCCTCTAAAGCGTAAGGTCCTGAGTTCGATCCCCTATACCAAAAAAAAGAGAAACAGGGTCATAGGACAATGTTTAGTAAAAGGCACAAACTTTACAAGAATTAAATTAAATATATAAAATCATTATGCAAATCCTAATTAGCCAGTACTTTGAGTTGTGAGCAGATTTGTTACCAGTTTATTCCAGTTTCCCCCCATGCATCAGTGAGGTAATACCTTTTTGCACGCATATTTTCTAAATGTGTATTATATCCAGTGGGATGAGTGTAAATATAATTCACCATGTTATAATGCCCCCTTTCCCTCTTTTACAGCATGGGTAAGCTCTCTGTCCATGGGGATGATTTTCCTTTGCTGCCCTGTAGTCAGTGTCTTCACAGACATGCTTGGTTGTCGGAAAACAGCTGTTGTGGGTGCTGCTGTGGGATTCATTGGACTCATGTCCAGCTCTTTTGTAAGGTAAGGACTTGGTTTCTTTATGTAGCTCTTGAATAACTGTTAACCTTAAACTTTTCCTTTCAGAAACTTTACAGTTTATAAGGAAGATCCTTAAAACATTAGGGAATATGACTTGTAAATTGAATTGCCATCCATAGCAGTAAATCAGAATTTGAGAATTTTAAAGATTTTGCTTGCAGTGCTTAAGATTTAGACCTTAGCATATATGAGTTCCCTAGAGTCAAGAAAAATGTTTCTTCTTCTGTGTTTTTCCATTTTCATAAATTCCTAAAGTAATCAAGTTATAACTGTGAGTTATCTAAAGTAATGATCTTAGTTTTAAGTTCAGCTCTGTCTGAGACCCAAAGGGGTACAAGTGGGATTTTAATGTGGTTGTTTATAAGCTTGGTATAAAAATGCTTTAATTAATTGGAAGAAGGCTCTTAATAATTCCAACATGGGTAGAGAATTCCTGTCTGTACTTTAAAGAAAAGAACACACTAAAATATTTAAATACTATAGCAAAATGAAGCAGTCAAATGCCACCTTAAAAGTCACCACACTTTCTCTATGTCTCAAGAAAAGATGTAGTGTGCTGAAGAGGGACTAACTACAAGGAGTTGATCAGGTCATTACTTTATGAAACAGCCCCAGATCTAGTAATACCCTTGCATGGTTAGGATAATCTGCAGAGAGAGAAACACTGGTTTAGTATGTACCTTTGGCTAGCAGGACATGATTAACAAGAAGACATAAGATCATTTCCATGCTTTGTTTTTACTTCAGTGGTTTATCTTCATTTCCTGTCTCTTTCTTTTTCCTACTTATTATCATGCAACTTTAGTTGAAAAACATGATTATAGTCATTGGACGGAAAAAGTCAAATTTGCATTTTTTGCCTTGTTTATTTTTAAATATTGGCATTCAGCAAAAACCTTGGTTTTACTCTACCATACTCCTTCCTCGAATATGAAGTGAGCCTCTTTCATACTTTTATCTAACTTTTCATACTTTTATTTAACTTAAAATTGTTATTTTTAAAGAGGAAAGTTTTATTTAGAATAAGATGCTTTTAGGTAATTCTGTGAGATCATTTATCTTTAGTCCTTTTTGGCAGCAAGGTAACATTGTGTTATTAATGTCTCATCAGATATCTTTGAATTGGAGGCCTCCAGGCACACTCTGTATGTACCTGTGGCTCTACCACTTGCTGAGTATATCAGCACTGGAGCTTTGTTTTGTACAGAGAAGATTGAAAGGTAGAAAGCATGTATAACTTGTTACTTAGTTTGGCAGATAAACTGCACATATAGACAGCAGCAAATACTGGTTTTCAAACTTTTTTGGCCACCGACAAACAAAAATGATATGTATTTTATATTGTAACCTAGTTTGTTCTTCCCCATTCAGAAGAAGCAAAATTTCTTGAAACCAGATTTCCCTTACATGAAGTGTTCACATATTTCCTATTCAATTTCATTATTTAATCCTTGGCAAAAGGTTGTCAGAATTTCAGAGCAATATACAGGAACAAGGAGAAATGTGGATAAATTCTAGTATCTAATGGTGGATTCACTTTTCCTCTAGTTCTCATTCTGCTTTCTTAGAAAAACTGTCTCCAACATCTTGGGTCAAATCACTTCCTTTCTTTCAATCCTTTTGTATACATTTGGTGTTTATACTGCTCTTACTCAGTTGGCAGACTTCAGCACTTGAACCATCTCTTATAAGGTGAATATTTAGAAATTAAAAAGGCACAACACAAAGGTACCTATTTTATTATGAAGGAGAGATATGAAGCTAATCTCATCAAGTGTTTAGCATTTTAAAATGTGCTCAGAAGAATGTTTCTGATGTATATATGTGGGTATCTGGTCTTATAACTGACAACATTATACCGTAATACTGTGATAAAACTATAGCGATAATTTTAGTGTCAGTACTATTTTTTTTGTTGTTTGTTTGTTTTGTGTTTTTTTTTTTGGTACCGGGGATCAAACTTGGGTCCTTGCGCTTGCACAGCAGGCAGTGAAACAACTGAGCTAAATCCTGGGCCCAGTACTATTTTTACTATACACTTTGAAGGAGGCAAAGAAATGTATGGATTTTAGATTTTTTCTTTTAAAATTGATTAGGAGTTTTGACAATTTAAGAAGTTGCAGTTATGGAAAACTGCTTATGTGGAAAATCTGATGCAGAATGAAGTAGTATTTTTAAATTTTTGGTATTCTTATCATTATGGGTAGATATCTTTTTATTAAGAAATGGATAGCTTGAAGGGAGAACCGCATTTTGAAATATTTTTTCTTTACGTAACTAGTACATATTAGTTAGTTAAACATATTGTTTAATATGTTTGTAGAATGAAAAGTAGAGATTCAGTAAAGAGTGATAAGAGTAAAGTGAGATTAATCTGGGAGAACCTAGAAGTTATTCTTGAGCTTGATGTGAAGATGGTGCTAGCTAGAGTAATCAAGGGGGAAAGGTGTCTCAGAGACTTTGCCCATGTGCCTTAATTTTATCAGATTCTAGAGTTCCTTGTAGATTACTTCAGCATATTGCTAGATTAGCATTATAGTCCAAAATTTAATTATTAACCAACTTTTTCCATCTTAGTTTCTAATAAATTGTTGCCTTTACTACTGATAAATTGCTTTTTGGATTTGATTTAACAAAAAACTTTAGTTTTCTTTTACTCTACCTTAATATTTCAAAGCATGTAATTATATGATCTTTTGTTTTTTAAGAGGTATAAAATTATTTGGTTTAGATATAAAAGTTTTTAATCTCATTATTCTTTTGAGACATATATGGGCTTAAAGCTTACAAACTGGGATCACTACTAAACAATTTAATTCAGGCTTTCTGCAATCAGAATATGATTTCTTGTTATCTTTCACAGTGCTGGCAACAGTGTAATACAGGGCAAAGGTTGGTCTGTAGCCCATAGGCCAGCGAAAATGAGGCGCATTGTGCTTCCGTGCAAATGTTCTTGACATAACTTTGGGAAGATAATATCAAATGCAACTTTTTCCTTTATTAGATCACCTAGTAAGTACCTCAGAAAATTCCATGAAATAATGGATTTTTATAATTCTAATGTTAGAATTGAGATAAGATCTTATTTATTAGTTTAATCACTGTCAGTTTTTCTGAGGCCCCTCTGGCCATTGACCTTTATTTCTGAGCTGTGGAGAGCACAGTTCTTATCCAGTGTTGTGTGGCTCACTGGAAACCTGTAGAAAAGAATAGGGAGACAAAATTATCGATGACTTTAATGATAATTTTTCACACATTTAGATTAAATTATCTCTAGTGCTACTTTCTTGATTTATTAAGACTTTGTCCTCTGTTTTTGGTTGGTTTTATTTGCAGAAAATATGTTGATTAACCAAAACCTACTTTTACTATAAGGTCTTATACTATCAAGCACATGATAAAAATAATTAAAGCTACTTTACATCTGTTTCATCTTTATACAGCTCCATCGAGCCTTTGTACCTTACCTATGGAATCATATTTGCCTTCGGCTGCTCCTTTGCATACCAGCCCTCACTGGTCATTTTGGGACACTATTTCAAGAAGCGCCTTGGACTTGTGAATGGCATTGTCACCGCTGGCAGCAGTCTTTTCACAATTTTGCTCCCTTTGCTTTTAAGGGTTCTGATCGACAGCATGGGCCTTTTTAATACACTGAGGGTCCTCTGCGTCTTCATGTTTGTTCTCATTTTTGCTGGCTTTACTTACCGACCTCTTGATTCCAGTGCCAAAGACAAAGAGAGTGAAAGCAGCAGATTCTCCCTCTTTTCCAGGAAAAAATTCAGTCCTCCAAAAAAAGTTTTCAATTTTGCCATCTTTAAGGTGACAGCTTATGCAGTGTGGGCAGTTGGAATACCACTTGCACTTTTTGGATACTTTGTGCCTTATGTTCATTTGGTGAGTATGCATCTTTGGCTCTGCTGGTAATAGATACTATCATTTCATACTAGAAAATTCCTTAGAAGAACAAGATAGATCAGGTTGAAGTTGGCCTCAGACCATTATTCTGGTTGTAATTTGGGGACTGTTGAAATTATAGGTCTCCCAAACAAGTTCAACTCATCCATCAGACCGTTAAACAGAGTCTGTGTCATGCAGTGCTTCAGTACTTTAAAAATTCCAAACCCCAACAAACAAAAACAATTTAAAAAGGAAAACTGAAATCTCAAAACAAATAAAGCATTTGATAGGTCACTTTTTCTAAAAGGGACTTCATAATCATAATCAGAGACAAAGCTGGTGTAATGATTTTGCTAACAGTAATAAATTATTCTTCAACAGAAGGATGTAGAAATTAGATAGTTGCCCCCATCCACAAACCAATGGCTCTGACAGAAAAAGGCATTACATCTACTCATTAGACACTTCTGGGAAAATGGGAACTTTATACAGAAGAGTATTTTGGAAATGTTAAGCAAGTTATAAATGAGGCAAGAAAGCTGAGTTTTTGTTAGAAATTAGGATTTCAAGTACTTAAGCAGTTTATATTATTTCTATTTCAAAGGCAAAACTCAGTCTCTTTATCTGAAACAAGAATAAGCCATGTTTAAAATGTTTACCTTTGCAAAATTTGCTCAAAAGTGTTCATTGTGTTTTTCTTTTCATACTGTTTGTGGCTGAAAATGTATTTACAGTTCAACATAGATGACAAACGATAAAAATGACACTAGCCTTTCTTTTGTGTGTGTATACTATATGTGTCAGCTTGGGCTTTTTAAAACTTAAAGTCTAATCTTGGACATTTGTGCAATTTTTCTTTAGCCATGTGTTTTGATGGAAATTTGTAACAGCAGTTGAAAGAATTACTGGGCTCACAGGGTCAGATAATATCTACACCATCAACCCTTTTGAGTTTCAGAAAGGAATTAGGCCAAGGAAACAGAGAGAGATGGTAAGCATCTAAGAATGTAGGTAGGATCTAAAAATAATTTTGATTTTTTAACTCTCCTTATTTTCTTCTTGCCAAAAGATGACCAAAGAGGAAAGACAAGAGAGAGACCAGGTTTTGATACTCTGAGTCATTTGGCAATTTCCAGAGGCTGAGGTACTAGGTAAAATGACCTAGTATGTGACACCTGTCACACATGGAATATGTGGCTACAACCTGATCTGATAGTTTATTTTCACACTTTTAGGAAAGTATCTCTAAACTCTCTAGATCTGATTTTTATTGGACTAGAGATTTGTTAAGAAGAATCAACTTTATCAGCCTATCTTCTAAGCTTCTTAGTCAAGAAAACATTATGTCTTTACTCAAAGATAAGTGGAAATTCTTTTTAGTTTTTCTTTGTTACTACAAGGTGAACATCCATTAAAATATCACAGCTCTGCTAAGACCAGACATTAATCAAAGGACACGTGGTAGGTGACTGTCTAGTTATTTCTGGTTGTATATTTACAACTTATATATATATTTTTGTTTTTTTTGGTACCGGAGATCAAACTCAGGACCCTGCGCTTGCAAGGCAGGTGGCGGAACCACTGAGCCAAACCCCTGGCCCTACAACTTATATATTAATTTCACACATAATTTGTTTCCCTGCTGCAGATTTCATTTGACCTTCACAGTAAACCTATAAAGTAGGCAAAATAAATAATGTTAGGTCTCATTTTATAGACTGGAAAACAGATCCATCATTAACAGAGATGGTAAGTGATTTCTCAAGAATCATCTGAGTAAAAAGCAATGCAGGGGTTGGTTCCTTTCCATGGTTCTTAGCTGGGAGCAAATCTAATCCTACTTAATAGCATATTAGGCCACTTCCCTGTGTATCCCACCACATTGTACATCTTATTAGAGGTAAAGTGAGTATGTCTAAAGAAGTTCAATAAATGTTACTGGTCTTTTCTTATAGTAAACCAAATTTCACAGTGGGTGATGAGTTACACAATGTTAGAGATACGGTTTGTAATCAGAAGCTGTTAATCAGATGATGCACAGAACAGTAAGATCTGTATTAACTCTGCTAATAAACCATGCCTTTTTTCTCTGCTCTTCCTTTTTTCCAGGCATGTTTTCTTACAAATTGTGTTGATATTTTTCATTTGGGATTTTCTCACTCTTAAATTATCATGGTAATAAAAGCCTGTATTGTAGAAGAAACACCAGGATAATTAAATGCCACACAGGCTGTTGAGGTCTTGTCTTTGGTAAATGCACTGAGTTGGTAACTTTGTTGTAATTTAATAAAGTTTGGATTGTGAATAGTTAACCCAGGCTTCATGAAATTGGATGCTAGTTTCCTCCTTAGATAGGGAAAAAAAATGTCTCAAATCCTTCCAAAGCATAGTAGATGATTTTGATGCATATTAAGCCCTTTATTGACTATTGAAGGTGACATACATGTAACATATGAACTTGATCTGATGGCGCATAGAACCTAGTAAATGTAATAATAAAAACCAGTATGGTTTAATAAAACACTCTGACATACATTTTTTTTTGTTCCGGGGATTGAATTTGGGACCTTGCAGTTGCGAGGCAGGTGGCAGAACCATGAGCTAAATCCCCGGCCCTCTGACATATGTTTTTAAATTTAATCTTCACAACAATGTAAGATCTCATCTTTATTTAATGGATGAGAATATTACAGAACTGAAAGATTAAATAATTTACTCAAGGTCAAGACCCAACTCAGTTGGCAATGGTATGTTTTAAATTTTGATAGTAAAAATTATCACACCACAAGAGGCAGGATTGTGTAGCAGTTGAAGGGCAGAGGTTCTGAAGTAAGACAGATCTGGTTTTAAATCCTGATTTTATGCCTTACTAGTTGTATAACTTTCTAAGTATCAGTTTCCTCATCTATAAAATAGAGATAAATCCCACTTTGGAGAGTTACTATAAGGATTAGAGAAAATGTATATAAAGCATCTACCCCAATTCTGGCATAAAAATAAGTTTTAAAAATTTAAGATAGTATCAAGCTGGGAATTTAGCTCAGTGATTACACTGCCTGCCTCACAAGTGCAAGGACCTGAGTTCGATCCCTAGTACCAAAAAAAAAAAAATTTAAGATATGATCACCAGTTGAATAGTTTTAAGGGGAGGTACAGAAGATTCATAGGAGAAAGAAAATTTCCAGTTGGAAAAGCAGAAAAAGCTTCATAATATTGGAGTTGGGCTGTGAATATAAGTTTTGTGTTAAAATTGGATCTTTAATCAACTAAAGAATTAATTTTTAAATTTATATCTTTGAAGATTCAGAAGTACAATGAAGTTCTCACAGCTTTATTAAAAATTTGAGAGAAAATATATATGCTTTCTCTTAAAGAAAGGTTGGAGGTTTAATCTTTTTTGTAGTTGACTTTTAAAAATGAATCCTTTTTGCCTCCTGGAAGCTGTCAAATGACCTCCCTTTTAGATTTGGCCATTTATCTCATTATAAGGGTATAAGTTTTAGAGATTAGTTTGAGTGAGGTCTGACTTCCTAAACAACCATTCCTAGTAGCAACTACTTCAGTTTTTACTTGAGGGTTGTTTTGGCGTTAACCTTTTATGGTTTCACCTTATCCTTCACTTAGCTTCCAGGAGCATGGCATGCTCTTGGTTTTTATTCCTTCCTCCCCATCACTCCCTCTAAGTTTCTTTGCTGGCTCCATTTTCCCAACTCCTGAACATTAGTGTGTCTTGGTGCTCATCTTTGATATTTTCCTGTATATATTCCTCTGCTAGTTTAATCCAATCTCCTGAGTTCATATTCATATGTAAAAACCATACTGGTTTTTTTAATTACAATTACTAGGCTCATGTGTATTTATGTATATCTATTGTGTATTATGCCAGTGACTCCAAATTTATATTTCCAGCCCAAATCTCTTTCCTGAGTCTTCCAGCAGAGTTATATATCCAGCTGCTTGCTTAAAACCTCCACTTGCATAGCTTCTAGGTCATGTCCAACCTTGAAGTTCTGATCTTATCCCCTAAAACTTATTCTGCCCCCAGCCATCTTCATCTCAGGAGATGGCAGTTCCATCCTTCAGTAAATCAGGTCCCAAACTATGGATTCATCCTTAGCTCTTCTATCTTGCACACCACAACCCTGATCCAGTCAGGAAATTCTGGTGACTACTTTCAAAACATATACATGTCTGGGCCAGGGATTTAGCTCAGTGGTGCTGCTCCTACCTCACAAGCACAAGGTCCTGAGTTCGATCCCCAGTACCACAAACAAAACAAAAAAACCATATACAGGATCAGGCCACCTTTCATTACTCTCACTACTAACACCTTAGCCAGGTTACCACCCTTTAGCCTGAATCACTACAGTAGCTTCCTTTCTAGTCCCCTGGAGTACCTTCTCTATACGGAACCCACAGCCATTCTTTTTAAACCTGTCTCTCTGCTTAGAATATTTAATGGAAATGAGAAAATTCTCTAAGAGTAAAAATTAATGTCCCTACAGTGGCCTTCAGGGTCCTCCATGATCTGGCCCCTCTGGATCTCCTCTCCTCCCTTGCTCACTCAGCTCCTGCATTCACCTTTTAGTTAAGCTTATCCCGATTGCTTGGTTAAAGTCCTGCTTCCCTTCCCTCTCAGCATTCCCATTCTCCTTTATGTTAGCCTTTCTCTTTTTGCACAGCACTTAATACCCTTAATAACTTCTAACATATTTGTAATTTACTTATGATTATTGCTTACTATCTTTGCTAGAATGTAAATTTTACAAAGTTAAGGATCTTTTGCAGTTTTGCTCAGGCTTCTGGCATAGTGGCTAGAACATGGTGGGTACTTAAGTGTTTTTGGGATGACTATATTATGAATAAGTCTAGAGTGACAATAGAAATGGTATTTTATCATCATTTTAATCTTTAAACTTCTCTGCTTTCATGACATAATACGAATTTTTTTCTGGATTGAGAATTTAACATGGGGTCTTTGCAATGAGCCATTTTTA